GCCTGGTCACCCCACTGCCCGAGGGTAGGAGAAGGTAGGCACAGGCTGGCGGTATACGAGGCTCTAAAGGGCCCGGGACGGTTCCCTTCAAAGGGGGGGGATGTAGCAGCCGGTACACAGTACGGTGCTATAAATACGCGCAGAGCGCGACCGCCAGCAACTCGAGAGACCTTTTCAGCGGTCAGCTGCTACAGTGAGCGACTGCTACACTCATTCCAAAACTTCTTAGGTACTGAAGAATCCACCAGCATCATCCTAACCTTATCCAACAAAGTACGGTTTAACCTTTCCGCTTTACCTAAACTAGGTACTGAAGAATCTACCAACATCGTCCTAACCTTATCCAACAAAGTACGGTTTAACCTTTCTGCTTTACCGTTCTGTTGGGAGGTGTACGGGGCGGATTATTCATGCCTAATACCCCGTTGCTTGCAAAATTCCTTTATTTTTGCGTTCACGAATTAACCCCCTCCATCAGTTCGCATGCCCTGTAAAGTAGAGCCACTTTGCACTTTTAACAAATTTACGCCCCTCTCAATGAAGTCCGGGACATCAGACTTATGCTTAATGGGCTGAACTAACGACACTCCAGTATAGTCATCCAACAGAGTAACGAAATACCTATGGCCACTCGAGGACACAGGCAAAGGACCACATACATCCAAATGCACCAACTGCAACGGTCTCTTAGTTACTGTTGTAGATGTGGGAAACGGATCGCGGCTAAATTTTCCCACCAAACAAGGCTCGCAATTCCTAACCTCGAAAGCTCTTAATTGAGCGGCGCAAAAATTCAAGCCCTTAAGCAATCCCTCCTGCACCAACCTCTTCATGTTTGAAATTCCCAAGTGACAAAGATGTCGGTGCCACAGCTCCGGCGTCTCAGTATCTAGGGCCTTTGCGGAGAAGGAAGGGATGACAGGCTCAGCAGGCCTGGAGGACTCTGCAGCGGGTATAGCACTACTCATGAATCTGTAAAGGCCTTACTCAGATTTAGTAGCAGAGATATGCAGGCCTCCCCTTGATATAATCGCCTGCATGTTCTTGAAACTAACTCTAAAACCCTTGTTCGTCAGGACTGAAACAGAGATTAAGTTGTGCTTAAAGTTAGGCACACAGAAAACTCCCTCAATAGTGATGTTAGGGGCATGGGTCGGCACCACATTCCCGTAACCCTCGGCCTGCAGCACGTTCCTTGTTCATGATCGATAAATCCGAATCAATCCTACAGTAGTCATGAAGGATACTCTGGTCGCCCGTAATGTGGTATTTGCTGCCGGAGTCCAACCACCACGGGTTCTCAGGATACTGCGCAACTACCCTTTGAATCCTCTTGATAAAAGGTGCCCGCCCCAAAGCTACGGACGCGCTCCTAGGCGGATTACGCATGTAGTAATCTAAACTCTCCTCATCTCTCGTCTGCTGGGGAACGAATTGCTGCTCTCGACCCACCAGCATCAGCACAACAACCTCCAGTTTCCGTTTGGCACTCCTAGGCAAGCCCTGCCACTTACGATAACACTTTTCGGACAGGTGACCCGTCTTCCCACACCAATCACACCGCAACTCTGACCCACCGTGCGAGCGACCCGAGCCTGAGGGACCAGAAGCGCTAACCTTCTTAGAGCAGTCCCTCGTGTAGTGGTTGCCGCCACAAACGAAGCAGCTAACCCTAAGGCCACCGTGTCCGGCGTATAACGCCGTTGCTATGCCTGGCTCGGTCCTCCTTGCAGTTAGGCGATTGGCCTCCATGGCCAAGAGCTTCTCCTTCAGCTCCAGGAAGTTCTTCGGGTAGGCGGACGTGACAAAAACTCTCTTCTCTGATTTATACAAGGCATCAGGCAGGCCACGAACAACTAGCACAATCACATTTTTCTCCGAAATGCGGAAATCTTTATATCTATTTAGCTTCTCGTACATATTGACCGCGCGGGTCACATAGTCGTGCACCCTTTCGTCATGGTGCATCATGATGGAGTGGAAAGATTGTGATACCGCGCTCAACTCAGCCTCATTTAATTGCCCGGCCCACTGCTCAAGGCCCGCCCAGAGATCCTTAGCTTCGGTGGTTGACTCGATAAGAATCTTATGGTCGACGGATGCAAGCCAAAGGATTATTAGCGCCCGAGCCTTCCTTATCTTTCTCATCTCCTTCTCCTGCTCCGTAGGATCGGCGGGTAGATTGTAGTCCTGGGTGACGACTGACGCCAGGTCCTCACACTCCAAGATGGCCTTCATCTTGATGAACCAGTCGGCCGAGTTGGCGACCATCAGCACATCTCTCCAACCAGCAATGTCGGACATTCTCTCAGAATCACGTATGACTCAAAATTGGAATTTGAAGGTACGAGCTCAACAAAGCGTACGATCACTGCAGCCACCGCAACGTCAAGCGGGGCTCATAACCTGTTGTGACTATTCGTAAATAGCCAGAAATAGCTGACACAAGATCCAGTTAAGCACAAGCTGGATAAGCGAGCTGACACTATGCCCTAACTCGAAGGACACTCCAAAGTCCCAGTGAGCAACAGTTGTTACAATCAGCTTGATAATGAAGTCTTGCCTCAGGGTACAAATAGTACCAATAGATCAAGTTCGTACGATAAGACCCAACTAGCAATCACACCAATCGTAGTACAAAGCTTATCGCGACGACGAGCTATAAAAGACAACAACCATAATCCTAAGAAGTCTGACCGGAATTAAAACAGTGGGCACATCGGGATCAGGGTTTTTCAGAAAACTTAGCTGCTGCTGCACGCTCTGCTGCATTGGCAACCATTGAGCGACGGAGTTTCTCGTAATACTCCATGCCGCGGCCGGGACGCTTCCGAGGCCGCTTGGGCGGTGGGGACCTTGCCCAGTTATCAAGCGTATCTGTTTATTTTCGCACAGGCCGGGCTACACCCCGTGGATTGTCAGCACGGGTTCTATGAGAACGGGAGGTCCTTGGAAGGTTTATTCGTTGCTGCTGCTCGATAGAACGAAGAAGTCTGTACGCAAACAGCGTGTTTGTAATTACTACTATTATAATAATAGAAATCAGGTTAGGGTTGCTGGGGTACTATAATTTTGCCGTGCGACAAGCCTGAAGATTCAAAAAGCGCGTGCACAGGAGAACTTCTTAAGAACAACCTATTCGTACTCCAATTGATTGTTTTGCTGCAATTGCGTGTAAGGTGCAACGCCATTTTTCCACTCAATGAGTGGACATCGGTGTCCACTCCGGGAGTGGACGTACATTCCCAGGGTGAGCTGGTGCGCGTGTCCATTACTCCTAGCCACCTTTTTGGATGCTTATTAATCAAGCATAGATATTCATAGGATATTCTATGAACATCCATTTGAGCAACGTTTATACGATGCATTTATGCACGCACACATATATATAATATATATACGTAGATATATGGATATATATTTATTGTAGATATATCCATATATCTGTCTGCATATACACATTTATATCTTAGACATCTCTTTATGGTTGCTCAGGCGATGGTCTCGCCGCACATGCAGAAACACGCGGCGTAGAAATTTACGAAAGTTAGGAAGTATATGATAAACATAAGATAGCCAAGTTAGGAATCGTATGATGAACAGGAACTCCCGAAACCTGCTCTGCAGTCTATCACAGCTATGATTGCCCCGGTTGTGTGAAGTGGACGAACCTAAAAGATGACGACTATGGTCTGTAATGGCGAGCAACAAAGGAGCGGATTCTGAGGGTTCTGAGTTGGAGAGCACAGAGAAACTGCAAGTTTTGGTAATTGCGGTGATGCCACACGCGGTGTATTACAAACAAACAGGAGGGCCATGGAGGAGGTGGTGCGGTGGACACGAAAGCGGAGGCGGAGGCGTGGGAGTCCGATGTCTGGCGAGCAGTTCCCCCTGTCCCCGCGGGGCACACACGCACACACGCACGGGGGCCCCCCCAACCCCCCCCACACCCGCCACCTCCCCACCCCCACACATACACACACATGCATCGCCGCATCCCTCTTCCCTGTCCTGTTTCGTCTCTCCTTTTCTCTCCTCCTCCTGGTGTTCCCCGCCCCTCCTGGACCTAGCTGTGCTGAGTGTGTTGCGGTACCGCACAACCACCGGTGGTGGGCGAACCCTAGGAAGGAAGTGTCCCTCGCAACTCCTCTGGCCAGTCAACTCCGGGGGGACAGGGACGGGGCGCGGCTCACCGTTACCTTGTTGGTGTCGTACAATAGAACAGTCGTACTGTACTGGAGGTGATTGGTTTATGTACCTCAACAGGCGAGGACATGAACATGCTTGCGCACGTTAATCAACAGGAGGACATGGTGCGGGTTGATGTGGATGACTGCGCATGCAAACATATGTCTGCATGTACGTTTGTATGTATGTCGATATTGTTTATTTACGTGAAATCGCTTCGCAAAACCGCTTCGGGAAACCGCTTCCTGCCGTGTCAATCCCTTGTTTTCCGTTCGGAAGCACTTTTTGAAGGGTTTTTTTCAACATACAAGGTCGCTCAGGGGCACTCGGGGGCACTCCGCTATAACAGCAGCAGCAGCAGCAGCAGCAACAACAACAACAACAACAGCAGTAGCAGCAGTAACAGTAGCAGCAGCAACCGCAGCCGCCATAGCTATAGCACACATACATGCACACACGCGCACACAGCGCCCCTCCGATGGTGGGGGCCCTAAGTCTTTAATACCCTCCTACATATTATGTATGCGTGTATGCATGTATGTATATATGTGTGCCTAACGCAGCAACAGACCGACCGACTGTCACACCGGGTTGGCCGAACTCTCGGGGAAAGCCTTCCACTCTTTCACACACATACATACGCACATACAGCATAAACATACACACACAGAACCCTACATGCGCGTCTTCCCCATCATGCCTTGCGACGGCGCGGTGGGCGGTGGACGGTAATACACACCGATATAAAATAAAAAAAATCACCAGCATTACCATCATCACCAGCATTACCATCCTCCTCCTGCTGCCCCGCATCACCCCGCTTCGTTCTCATCACACCAATCGTCATACGCATCCTCGTCGCCATCAGCCAGTCGGCATCGTGCAGCTGAAGTTTGCCGGTCCGTAGTGGATCCGATCATGGGGGCCACTACCGCCGGGCCCACCCTGACCCCCTACACACATACATACACACATATAGGTGTGGATGTAGGTGTGGATGTTTTCGAAGAGGCATCGTGCATGCTGCTGCTACTGCTGCTGCTGCTGCTGCTACTATCGCCCGGCAGCGGCCTTCTTGCGCAGCTGAGCCGCCGCTGCCGCTGCCACTGCCGCCGGCCCGCCGCCGCCGTTGACTACCCGGCCGCCGCGGTTGGCGCGCATGACCTGGTCGTGCAGGGGATTACCTGCGGCATCATGTGACGTCACCACCGCTGGGCCCGGCGGCCGCCGACCCGTCGTCTGCGGCCCTGACGGCGCCGCCGCCGCCGCCATTACCGGGGAAGCCGCGCCTGCATCTGAATCCCAGGCCCGCCGCCGCTTTGCTGCCCCCGCCGCCACCGGCGCCGGCGCCGGGGCCGTCGCTGGCGTCATAGATTCCTTTCCGCTGCCGCCACCGCTGCTGCCAGCGCGGACACGCAGGGGTTCCGGAGCGGATGCGCGTAGCGGATCTGTATGACGACTCACTGACATGCTGGGTGTACGGAGCAACGCCAACGGTGCCGGCTGCAAGTGCGGCGGCGGCGGCAGCGTTGCGTTGCCGCCGCCGACACCGCGGATGAAGGTCTGCAATTGGGGTGCCGCCGCGTCAGCGGCGACGGCGACGGAAGCGTCACCGCCGCCGCCCAGGACGTCGCCATTCAGCCCCGTTGACTGCCCAACTCGGATCTCCTTGGGAACCCCTGACGGCCAGGAGGACGAGTGTACGGCACCGATTCCACTGCCGGCGCCAACGCCACCATTTGGCGGCGGCAGCATACGCGCCAGCGGCGCCGGGGCGGTGGCGGGTTTCCTGCCGTACGATCCTGGTGGCCCGTTATCCCCTCCGCCGGCGCCGCCGATGCCACCTAGCTGGAATGACCCTGTAGCAGTCCGCTGCAGCGGCGCCCGCTGCTGCGGCGGCGGCGTGACGGGTGATGCAGGTGGCTGGCTTACGGTATGTGCACCTCCTCCGCCACCACCGCGGCGGGGCGAGGAGAGGCAAGGTGCCGCTGACGCCGCAGCTGCAGCCGGTGGCGGCGGCGGCGGCGCAGCTGATCTGCCAGTCCTGGGTTTGTGACTGTCAGGTCCAGAAGTGAGGGCTATGGGGCCACCGCCGCCGCCGCCGCCGCTGGCGGCAACGGCGCGTGCAGCACGTATTGACGCCAGGGCTGAGCCGGCGGCGGGTGTCACCGTCGGCAGCGCCGCAGCAGCTGCCCTAGCGTGATTGTACGACTGTGTCGCGTTCGATTTGTTCGACGGTGATGATGTCGATGGTTGTGAAGACGCGCGTGTTGATGAAGATGATCGAGACTGCGGTGACGGCGGCTGTAGATCTGACGGCTCAGATGGCGCCAGCGACGGCGGCGGCGGGGATGGTGGTGGTGACTTGAGGTGGGAGGCTTGCCGTACGTTGGCGGCGGCGGCACGTGCACCTGCCCCCGCGGTCGGCTTCGTGGATGCGCCAGCCAGTGACGGCGGCAGCGGCGGCGGCGTTACACTTTGTGGTGCACCTCGTCCTCTTGACCCTCGGACGCTGCCGCCGCCGCCGCCGCCAACTAAACGAACTCTAGGGGGGCCTGGACCGGCGGCGACGCGGGGGAGTGGCGGCGGCCGCGGATGCCCGTGGGGCACGGGCCGCTCTGCGGCACTGGCATCGCCATCATCGTAGTCCCCGTACGGCAGAAGTACGGCATTCAGTACATCGCCAGCGATGCCAGGGGCTGCGACTACACCGCCCGCGAGGCTTCCCCGGCTGAGGGGTCCCCGCATGCGGAGCCGTGCCACCGCGCGCCGTACATACCAGCCACGATAGTACGACTGGATGACCTGCACACCCACCACCAGCAATGGAGGACGCAGGTTATGGCAGGGTACGGGTCGGGGTGCCGTACCGAATGTACGACATCTTGCATGATGCGGCACGGCGGCACGGTCTCCAGTGCTTTTGACAGCACGGTCTGTTGTCGTGTTGACCGTCTTGACCGTTTCATTTCACGTCGTGCGGTGGCGAGTGCGCACGGAGGGTCGGAACAAAGGACCAAAATGCAATACAGGATAATAAACTCCCCCCCCCAAGAGACGAAAGACAGAAGGCAGAGCTACAACAGGCACTACGGTGGCATTACGTCGTCGGGTTACTAGCCGTACTGTCGTACCTTGGTTGCCGCCAGGCGCTGCTCGTACCGCTTCCGCTTGGCGGCTTCTCGTTGCAGCCACGCCCGCCGTTTCCGGGCCCGGTGGCCGCGCCAATATGCCTGGAGGTGCAGAGGGGAGGGAGGGGGGAGGGAGGTTGGTGCCAGGTTGTGTTTTGATGCCCCGTATTGCCTCACCCGTGGCCAGCTGCTGGGACCTGTGTGTATCGCGGATGTCCCTCTTCAGCTCTACCAGGTAACACAACACAACACAACACAACACCCAACACCCCTAAGGGCGCCGCGGCCTCTGCTCCAATGGCAGTGCAGCTGCTCATTGGCTTTGCTGCCCCCCACCCCACCCCACACCCCCGAGGTGTGGCATCCAGCTGAGTTAAACTGTCAGGGGGTACACACAGGGGGTACACAGAGGGAGGCGCCATGGTAGGGTGCTTCACTTCACTTCACTTCACTTCACTTCACGTCACTTCACTTCACGTCACTCGGCACGGCACGGAGGAGGCCGGACTCGAGGTCACGTAGGCCTTCGCCTGGGCCCTCAGGCTGGCGGCGATCCTGCTGGCGGGTGGGCGGTATCTCTTGGCTCCGACTGCCATCGGCAGGTGCGGGTCTCCGTTCCCTCCATGTACGGCATGTACGGCATACGTCGCTCAGACAACTAGAGTGCTCATTAACACACCAACCAGATCTAGGTCATGAGAGAGAGAGAGAGAGACAGGAGCACGGACGTGGTGGTAATGGTGATGATGGTGGTGGTGGTCACTTGGGGTTTTGTAGATGACGATGTACATGTACAGACTGTAATGACTGTTGAACATTTTAAGTGTTTCCTCGTTTTCCCCCCCTCACCATCACCCACTGCTCCACTGCACAGTCGGACTTTGGCATTTCATACATACAGAAACATACGATATACATACAGAAACACCATCCAGTCCCGCAGTCTGACTCGTGTCCACGACTATGCACCCACCGCCTACCTGGATTAAAGTTGCCGCAGCCACGTGAACGGGGTCCTGTACCTCACCGCCCGAATAAGCTGCCGCCGCTGCCGCCAGGCCCGCAATTGACCCGTGGGTCAGTCGCCCTGCCGCCGCCTGCCGCTGCATTCGCTGTTCCCTCATCCGCCTCACGCGTTTCCGCGCCAAATGACCTCTACTCGTATGTGCGTCGTACATGAAAACAACGTACAGAATACGTGGCGAAGGGTAAGGTAAGGTAAGGCAAGGTGAGCGCTGCAGGGATGACAGGAAGCATTTGAACAATGGTCTATTCGGTTGGCGTGATAGGGTTGTAATATGATGTGATGATGAGGCGTGGGGGGGATTCAGGCAAGGGTGGGCGGTGTTGGCACAAAACCCTAAAAACAACTCCCTTTCGCACCCTCACCCTCACCCTCACTACCCCTTACCCGTACTCGCCCACCTGACCCATCGCTGGATGTCAATGGCGAAGTAGTTACGTGCCCGCCAGCGAAGTCGCAGTCGAGGCCATTCCTTGCGCGCGCAGTAGCCCTGGAATGCAGTAGAAATGACCCACGGGTCACACATCCCCGCGGTAAAAAGTGACTCCTGGGTCGAAAATTAAGACAAGAGTTACAAGTTACAAGTTACAAGTTCCACACACAAGTGCGGGTGTGTCCATAAAAGCCGGGGGGGCCATGGACGATATCGCAGCTTCCCAATGCTGTACCGTTGGCTTGGACATATAACCTGGACAGAGCTCCTACGGAATAAGCTAAATCAGGCATCGTGCCCACCATAAGGTACAACAAGCTGCCTACCAGCCAGCTCTCCAAACTCCTAAACTCCCCCACGTCCAACGGCTCCCCCTCAGCACGTAAAACAGTGCCCTTGGACATCGGCACCAGCCGCGGATTTGCGTCAGCCATGCCGTACTTCTTTATTAAGTCCACAGCAAAACGACGCTGTGACAATTTTAGGCTACGCTGCGCACGATCACGCTCTATCTCGAAGCCCAAAAATACCCGAGCCTCCCCTAAATCAAAAATACCCGAGCCTCCTCGGATATCAAACAACATATCCAATTTTGATTTTAGTCTTTGAACAACCGCTAGATCCTTGGCCGCAATTAATAGATCGTCCACATAAATTAGCACGTACACGTGCTCTCCCTGAACATCCTTTAAAAACAAACCAGGATCAGCTTGAGAAATTAAAAAGCCCATATCAACCAGCTCCTTTTCCAGGCGCGCATACCATGCACGCGGAGCCTGCTTAAGCCCGTACAGAGCCTTACCTAGCTTACACGCCAAAGTGGGGCCTCCCTGTTCGTAGCCAGGGGGTTGCTGCACGTAAACTACTTCATCCAGCGTGCCGTTAAGAAACGCCGTCTTACCGTCCAACTGAAGCAACTGACCACTAGGCTCCTCGAGGCCCGGTTGAGGAGGATTAACTCCAGGTGACTCTCCCCCATCCAGATTCACTTCCTGGTTTACTTCTACCTCCTCTTCTAGGCCCTCTTCCGATACATGCTGGTTAACCTAGGTGAAGATGATGATGAGGAGTTACCCCCTTTGATTAAGGGGGTTACCCGCTTAGGTGGAGGATTCTAGTTTCCCGAGAGTGGAGGGGACCTGGTAGAAGGTTTGGAAGGGGACCTGGAATATATATATTTAGAAGAGGGCCTAGAAGAGGAGGTGGAAGTAAACCAGGAAGTGAATCTGGATGGGGGAGAGTCACCTGGAGTTAATCCTCCTCAACCGGGCCTCGAGGAGCCTAGTGGTCAGTTGCTTCAGTTGGACGGTAAGACGGCGTTTCTTAACGGCACGCTGGATGAAGTAGTTTACGTGCAGCAACCCCCTGGCTACGAACAGGGAGGCCCCACTTTGGTGTGTAAGCTAGGTAAGGCTCTGTACGGGCTTAAGCAGGCTCCGCGTGCGTGGTATGCGCGCCTGAAAAAGGAGCTGGTTGATATGGGCTTTTAAATTTCTCAAGCTGATCCTGGTTTGTTTTTAGTGGATGTTCAGGGAGAGCGCGTGTACGTGCTAGTTTGTGTGGACGATCTATTAATTGCGGCCAAGGATCTAGCGGTTGTTCAAAGATTAAAGTCAAAATTGAATATGTTGTTTGATATCCGAGATTTAAGGGAGGCTCGGGTATTTGGGGGCTTCGAGAATGAGCGTGATCGTGCGCAGCGTAGCCTAAAATTTCACAGCGTCGTTTTGCTGTGGACTTAATAAAGAAGTACGGCATGGCTGACGCAAATCCGCGGCTGGTGCCGATGTCCAAGGGCACTGTTTTACGTGCTGAGGGGGAGCCGTTGGACGTGGGGGAGTTTCGTTATGGAGAGCTGGCTGGTAGGCAGCTTGTTGTACCTTATGGTGGGCACGAGGCCTGATTTAGCTTATTCCGTAGGAGCTCCTTTGTCCAGGTTATATGTCCAAGCCAACGGTACAGCATTGGGAAGCTGCGAAGGGCGTGTTGCGATATGTAGCAGGTGCAACTGCCAAGTGTATTTCGTTTTCAGCGAAATCCGCAGAGCCACTACATGGCTACTGTGATTCTGATTACGCTATAGTTGTGTCGACACGAGACATTCTATCACCGGTTACGTGTTTCTAAACGCGGGTGGTGCGTTGAGCTGGTCTAGCCGTCTTCAGCCAACGGTGGCTACATCAACCGCCGAAGCTGAGTATATGTCGTGCGGTGCTGCTACGAAGGAGGCCCTGCGGTTTTTGATGATGGTGGTCATTTGACTCCTGGTTGGCCTCCCAGTTGACCTCATTTGACCTCCCCCATTTGATGATCATTAAGACAAGATGCCCCCACAGACCTCAAGTACGACCAACAAAACCCGGAAGTCTTTATGTGTATTTGGATTTTCACCTCTCCTTCGGCCCAACAGCCCTCCTCGTTGCATTCCGGAATTGTCCCTCCTCCCTCCTCCCTGCTGCTCACCTTCCACCACCTCTGAATGTCCAGCACCGCCTTGCGCCGCTCCGCCGCCTCCCTCCGCCCTCGGAGGCCCCTCCAGTAGCGCTGAATCACCACTGCAGCGGTCTCCACCACATGCTCGTGTGCACCGCTCCTGATACACACATGAACATACATACACATATACACATGCATACCCGGGTCGGTCGGTTGGGGCGGCGGGGATGGGGCCATATGGAAATCATGTGTGGTGGTGGTTGTGGTGGTGGTGGCAGGGGTAAAACACCGTGTTTTCGTGAGAAGTCCTCGTTGCAAAGAAAGTAGCTGCAAGCAATAAAACCAGTCTCCGTGATGATAGGGTAGGGCCGGGTGTGGGCGCACTACCCCCAAGCGACAACTAGGCCCGCAGACCAACCTACACTTCAGGGCAGCACCCAAACGTAGCTCTACACAAAGCCGAGGTAACCGGCACAGTCGCTCGCAGGGAAACATAACCACGCCAGACCGTACATCGTACAGTGGCACTCTGAATTCACAGAAAACCTTAGTTTTCTAGACGCTTCGCTTAGGAAATTATCAGGTGGGTTGTGTGTGTATGTGTGTGTGTGTGTATTGGGGCATAACGGCAGCAATCCCACCAGCCATGCGGTTACGGGGGAAGGCGTGGGTGGGCACGGGAAAGGCTGGTAAGGCAGAGGTTTCCTTACTTGAGCAGGTGACCGCTTCGAAGGGCCTGGACGAAGCGCCGCGCTACGTGGCCCCTGAGGCGTGCCAGAGCAGGGACACGTGTATGTGTGTGTGTGTGTGTGTGTTTTGACCGCCGGGGTTGGGGCGTGGGGGCGGGGACGGGGGCCGAAGAAGGGTTGGTCACATGTGTACGTGTGTATGGGTGTGTGTTGGGCTGGAGTGAGGGCGTGGGGAGCAAGGGAGGGGGTTTGAAGCGGGCTTGCCAGGGGGGGTTGTGGCATGCTGCACATGTATGTGAGAAATGCTTTAGTGTGGCGCTGATATTGTTAAGCGTAGCTTCGGAGAAATAGGGGTCGGAAAGATATATTTGTCTCGGTGCGCTTGCAGCACGCACCTCCACCACTTTTGGATTGTCTCTGCTGCGGGGCCCTCCCAGCGGCTGTAGAACCCCCGCCATACTGCTGCAACCTGCCAATTTGCAAGGGGCCGCATTCAAGCACAATGTGTCCTTCTGTATAAGTTGTTCATATTGAACTTCGTGCCAGGCCAACTGCCCTTCACGATTGCAAGTCCAACTCCACATGCAACACTCTTTGTTTCCCGTCAGAACACAGAGAGCCAGAGCCGTGACTCCAGATGTTTTTGGTTCACTTCAATAATACAAGCATATAATCTATTCATAATTTCAACAAGCCACGCTCGCCACCCTTGTGCATGACTCCTGGGATGACCGCCTGCGCCTCTTACCGATTTCTTACGCTGCTCGTCAGTACTTAGGTCAACGGCCTTTCCGGGTCGTGGTATCCATGCAGACGTGCGCAGAATGGTCGAGGGCTCAGAGACCATGCTCGTTGCCACAACAACCGCCGGGCGCGTTTCATGCTTTACAAGACATAAGCGACTTAAACAAACCCTAAAAGAAATGCTTTCCACATGAACATCTACATCGACGCTCTACATGTTAGGCTCTATAATAGCTAGTCCGTTCGCTTGCAACCACCGTGACTGTGGCATAAGTGCCGTAATATGCAGGAATGGGAGTCCTTCAAAGCAGCTCTTTCGAGGGAAATCACGTATGGTATCCTATATGTGAGAACATCTGGCCACCCCGGACCGAGGACCCAACCTTAGGGACAGCAGCAGAGCAGCTGGTCATGGATGTCTGCGGAAGAGGTCTATCGAGCCCGTTCTCCCTCCCCCACAAAACATAACTCCCTTCCAGCTTTTCCCCAGAACCATGCATGATGGAGCCACAACCTCTTACCATGCGCCTAATGGCAAGCCTACGAAGAGACCGGTGTGCCGTGTGTCGGCCCCCCCAGACCTTGATCCATGCTCGTATCTCACAACTCTCTTCACACATCACCCAACTCCGCGGCTAACTCCCTCCACCTGCTCAGCATTACCCAAAAGTCGCGTCTCAACATCTTCACAGTGACGACTGACGTGCAAGTCATCGTGCGTAGCTGTCCTACTTATTCAGGGTAGCGCATGGAAGCGGCGATGCAAGGCCGTGCGCCATCCAACATTTCAGTCCTACCCCCTTACATGGCTGAATTGAACTTGACCCGGGATCTGGGCAGGAGAGCATTCTCCATAGTATTGCCCAATGCGATCCCCTGCAAAGCAGGGGCAGCGTGGTCGTGAGCGTCATCCCCCTGCGCACATATCAACACACAAGCAGTAAGGAAAGAGAACACGAAGCCAGTACTTACATATACGCTGTCTAACCAGCAGCGGCCGCCTCTCTCCCTCCCTCCTCCGTCCATGCACAGTTGCATTTCGGGGACAGATGTCTTACAGCGGGATGAGCCCAGGAAAGGCCCGCATCAAATGGAGAGCACGCTCTTTCAAACCTCTGCCAAACATTGTGTCTGTACAGCTCCATATTGCAAACACGGGACTCGTACACGTACAACCCACTGACGAAAACAATATATTACAGACGTCCTAACCTATCCATGTTGTGGCCCCAAGACATTCTCTGTGGGCCGTGGACAAGTAAAGATGTGCCCCGTGCATCCGTACAGGCACACGCATGCAAGAGAGCATCCATCCGCTGAGGAAGTAATAGTAGATCTCTGCAGCAGCAGCAGCAGCAGCAGCAGCACTACGATCAGTGCCACGATCAGACCCTCTCTGACTGGCCGTGTGGAACAACCAAAAACATAAAATTCCTCAATTGAGTTTTTCAGATCCTAACGTTGATTGTTTGTTAACGGTAGTAAAGTGGAAACGGAAAACTACCTCAACTACCTCAAACTGCCTCAAGAATACCTCAAATCAGGCAGCTACCAGAAGACCACCAGGTCAGGCAGACAGACAGACAGACAGACAGGCAGCCGCAACGAAACACCCACAACCATGATTACACGGAGGGCGCAGATGGCACCAGCGTACCCTGCTCTGCAGGGGGTATGCCAGGATAGCTCCCCCCCCTACGCCATTACGTTAGGTGTAGTAGTACGGAGGGGGACTCTGGGCCGTCCGTACATCCGTACAACCACATTCCATTACATCTCCAACCTGCGATATATCTTACAGCACGACACCACAATGACGATACCGTCATTGCGCCGTCAAAGTATCCAAGTCACGACGGGGGGAGAGACGAACCACGTGAACGAGTGAAGCTGCTGCCAGGGCAAGAGTGTACCAAGAGACGGGGGGCTTGACACAGGGAAGCGCATTCATGCATGTGAGGAGGAGAACACCTGACCAAACCACACCCGGAAACTAAAAACTGACAACTACTAACTAGCAAAACTACAAACGGGCGACAGTGGCCAAACCGAGCGCACGTGTATTTGCGCAAATGCAAGCACACGGAGGAGAAACAGGTTGGCTAGGTTGGCTAGGTTGGCTAGCCAAATGTCGCCTTCCTTCTTGCAGGCTCTGTTACTAGGAAGGACGACGCAGAGCTCCTCCCCTATATGAACCACCTCAGCTGCCTGCAGTGCCTAACTGCTAATGATGCCAGGCGCCGACATCTCCACGACTGCAGGGATTGCCTTTCATTGGCATGGCATGCAATGCAATGCACCATGGGCTTTCCCACGTCCCTACATATCTCCGCTACAGCCCCACCGGCCGCACCCACAACGTGGCGATGGAGGTGTTGGGGCCCGATCTGTCCGAGCAGACAATCATCATGATCATCATCATCATCATTTCAAACAAAATTAAGAACAACAAAAGAACAACAACAGAAAACCATCATCTCCGCAACCGCAACCGCAACCGCAGCCAAACATTAGTGTAGCCAGCAGGCCCCGAGCACATGTGCATGTGTCGTCGTCATGATGATGCGCATGTGCCCTGACACCCCGAGACCATGCAGCACCCTCGCGGCAGTGAAACGGAGCACCCCTTCAGGTGCACCCCCCTTATCTCCCCCCCCCCACATACATACATACATTCTGAAGTCGGATGGGGTGACGGATTAGGGTGCCCCTCTAGCAGGGGAGAGCAGGGACTGCCCCGGGAAAGGGGGCCGCTGGCGAAGTTAACCACCCTGTAACAACATACATACATACACCCAAATCCACATCTTTCCCAGCCCAGCTCACTCCTCCGTTTCCCGATCGCCACCGCTGCCGCGCACCAACCGCCAACTGCCGACCGTTAGCTGCGATTAGAGTTCCGACGTCACGCCGAGCTGGCCTCCACCGGGTCCCCCCCGCCGCCAGTGGTGGTTGCCGCCGTTGCCGCCAACCGCTCTGCTTCCTGTTTGGCCCACTTGGGGCTGTACTCCACCTCCAGGGCATCCAGCTTGGCAGCCATGACCAGATCGGGCATCGTCAGGCCGCTAACCGCGTGTGTGGAGAGGTTGATCTCAACCTGTCGGCGGACATAGAAAAGGAGTGGATACAGCAGTGGATGGAGCAGTGGGTGCAGCAGTGGGTGCAGCAGTGGGTGCAGCAGTGGGTGGAGCAGTGGATGGCGTTTCGTTCTCGGTGTGTACAAACTGTCTGTTACAAACCCGGCACCAGCTTGAGCCAGCGAAAGCGCGCGAGGCAAGAGGATGCGGGTGGCAAAGCTCGGATATTATTAAGTCAATGCCCTTGGCAGCTAGGAGTGCTTTGGGAAGTACAGAACAAAACGAAATGAACGATCCAAGGGAAATGCTTTCTGGTACCACCAAACCGAGCTCCCTGTGAAATCCCCAGGGCGGAGCGGACCCTCACCTCTCTAAAGTTCCGTAAGTGAATGTCGGGGTGGTGGCCTTCCTCCTCCGCCACCTCAGCCAGCTTGTTAAAAAATCGAATGGCTGTACGGCAGGAAAAAAGGGCCAACAGCCATTTGCGAGGCGTCGCGTCATATACGACTGTAGTATCGACAAAACGTGTGCGTACGGCAGACTGTGTGCGTACAGCTAAAATGTCGTGACAGAGGTGGCTATACACAGCTGTATGCACATATATGTCTGTATGTACCGCGGAGTGAGTACATACAGTCCTCAAGACGTACGCGCGCGTAATAATCTCCATGTGGGCCGTGGAGGTACAACCGTACCGTCCATATGGCTTTAAGGTCCTTGGTTCGATTCTTGGGGAGATCCCCGGCATTGTCGGGAGCGTGAGATTATGGCTAGCTGATGAGATGTGGAGTTGAGGTCATAGTTGATGGTCACCGAGATTCGCACGCTGGATTGGTGGCGATTGCTGAACCCTCTGTCTCAGTGGATGTTCGGGTGACTGGATGAGGAGGGATCCTAGAAGGCAGGATCAACCGCCTTGGACTTGCAGTTTGTACGGCGTAGTACAGTGTGGTAATGGTGGATGGTGCTGTATGGTGATAAATCGAAAGAAATGACAATGAGTTTTTTTAAATAGCCTAGAAGCCTCCCACTCTGTAACAACAGCAGATATGGCTTTAGGGCAAGGAGAACATGATGAAATGATGATGAAAATATGAGCCGCATGTGTAGGGTGGCGGCCGATTTGGGTTTGGTTGCACGGACATTGTTCCGTTAATTTCAATGCCGCAGCAGATCAGTTGTGTTGGGGGGGGGGAATATGTGGCGAGCACGCGCGTGCAACGGCAGGAGGCCATGTGATGGAGGACGTCATGCAGCTTGGAATGCGGGGCTGCCTTCTTTCCTTCTAGCCCAGCCCACCTGCCATGAAGTTTTTGGCGGTAAAGCTGCGCGTGATCATCGTCTTGTCAGCGTTCAAATGCCAGGCGGGAAGAGACCTCATGTAGTCGTCCAACTCAGCAGGTTCCACTTTTGGGGTGTCCCTGCAGGGGTACGGACAACGCAAGCCAAGCCAAGCAGAAACAGCATAATGCGAAGCTGGTCACGAGGGTTACAGCTTGCGCTGAATGGCCTTTTTTGGGGTCAGCTACGGCGCGTGTTCTTCCCCTTAGGTTTTTCGTCGTGTGCGACGACTAACGATACGGATGAAGGCAGTCAACATCTGCGAGCTTCGTTGCTTATGCGGGTTGCCTTCGCTGCTGCACGATCGCTGACTTCTGCGAGCGATGCCGGCATTGGGGTCTTGAGGGGAGAAGCTGCGCTACCAACTGCCGGAGACCATGGATATACTCAGTTGTGCGTATTGTGTGCCCAAAGCGGACACGACCTCATAGATCTCAGAGGAATTTTATCAGGCACAGGCACCTGCTGCATGCGCCACCGCATCCCGCGGAGCGCAGCTTGTCTGCGCCTGGACCTTGGATGTTAAGCGTCGTGGAGGACATTGCATACGCACGTGCCACAGGGAAGCCCCGACAGCGCCTTGTAGCTCCGGATGTGTATGCAGACTGGACAAGATTACAATGTCGATACCGGAGAAGCGCTCGGCCGAGCATGTCAACGGACGTAGCCCTACGCCTTGTTGCGACAAGGGCTCAAGCCACGCTGCTTGAGTGAGGGCTGGTTGCAACTTGAACTCTTCAAATAGACAGGATCTGCTCAAAAAAACCCTCTTCCATCAGGGTCTGCGAGGCAGAATTGCGGAGAGCTGCATGCGGGGGGTACGGCCGCCCACTTAATGCAGAATAAAGTCCATGTCTCGCCATATACCTTTCCGACCATTTTTCAGTACATACTCGTGAAGCATCCAACACGTGGTTTTCAAGCTCTTTCCATTTTGCTTCTTCGCAGAGGAAATTTTCTTATTTAAAGCCGCCGCAAAGTTTAAGGGTCTGTAACCCCAATAGCATCTTTAAATAGTAGGCAACTAGCCGTCCAGGTTGTGCAGGATGGCTACGTCAGGGGAGGACTGGAAGACCCGGCTGAATCTGCCACCCAAAGATGCCCGCGTTCGAACAGAGGTAAGTTGCGTCGCCAGTCTAACGCTCCTGATGCTGTGTCTCCGATGGACCCAGCACGTTGAAGCTTCGGGGATTTGCAGGACGTGACGGCAACAAAGGGTAACGAATTTGAGGACTACTTTCTGAAGCGGGAGCTGCTCATGGGCATTTTCGAAAAGGGCTTTGAAAAGCCTTCGCCTATTCAAGAAGGTTTGTGCTTTGCTGGGTTGCCAAGTTGGAGCCACGGCTGACCGGAAGGACGAGACTTGATCTCGTTCCGCCTGCTCTGTCACAACGCAGAGTCTATCCCTATTGCGCTGGCTGGGCGTGATATTTTGGCACGCGCTAAAAATGGGACCGGCAAAACAGCAGGTTAGTGGCCGGAGTGCAGGATAATGGTCCAGCTAAACAGGTGTCGGGTCCGGCTAGGCTTGACGACCTTTGCTCTCTCCCTCAATATTGCAGCGTTCTGCATTCCCGTGCTGGAGAGGGTGGACCCTACTCGGTCCGTCATTCAAGGTGCGCCAGCAAACTTTTGCGGGATTTGAGGCAATGATCGCAATACTTACGAACCTTTCATTTCGACTGCAGCTCTGCTCCTCGTGCCTACGCGTGAGCTTGCACTTCAAACAGCACAAGTGTGCAAGGAGGTGAGTTTCGGGTCAGTAATGCAGCTTCCCCCCGTGCGCGTAGCATCTGTTACAGGTTGGGCGTTGCTGCTCGTTGCGTCCGATAGAAACACATTTGTGAATGTGGTATTGTTGTTATGGTTCTGCTTGGCTTGTCTAGTTCGGCATGCACGTATGTTGACCGGCTCCTTCCGCGGCTCCTTTCCGTGTATGCTTCTTACTGCAGCTTGCAAAGTATCTAAATGTCGAGGTTATGGTCACCACGGGAGGGACTAGCCTTAAGGACGATATCATGCGCCTCTATCAGACTACGCATATCGTCGTCGCCACTCCGGGCCGAGTGGTGGATTTGGCTGGGAAGGGTGTCGCTCGTCTGAACGAGTGCAAGATGCTTGTGATGGATGAGGTGGGTTCGGTGGGCAGGCCTGGATATACGGACAGAGGTTGCTGAATAAGATTTCGCAATGTACAGGCGGACAAGCTGTTGTCGCCCGAGTTCCAGCCAGTTGTCGAGCAGCTGATTGGTTTCCTGCCCGAAGACAGGTTTGTGTGATTCGTGTTGCGGTTGTGCCGTGGGTATATGCGGCCACCTATGCGGGTTTCAACCTGCTCCGTACCTGTCTGACCAATTGTGAACGCTATGCATGCTTGCAGGCAAATCATGCTATACTCGGCGACGTTCCCTGTCACTGTGAAGGCGTTCAAGGAGAAATTCCTCAGGTTGGTGCTGACCAATACTGATGGAGTTTGCTCTTTTGGGTTATTGAGTATACATTTGCTCTTACAGGAAGCCGTACATTATCAACCTAATGGAGGAGCTTACGCTAAAGGGTGTGACGCAGTACTACGCTTTTGTGGAGGAGAAGCAGAAGGTGCGATCAGCCGGCACTGTCTCAGGTTGATGCATGTTCAATCTTGCGGATTGCTCTGCCTTCTGGTAGCTTTCTGTCTGTACCTGTGATTCTGTTTAAGGTTTCCACATTCTCCGAGGGAGACTGCTTCAAGTTTAAACGATTCCTTGTTCTTCGTTACTTCTTGGCAGGTGCACTGCTTGAACACCCTATTCTCTAAGCTGCGCATCAATCAGTCGATCATCTTCTGCAACTCAGTTAACCGGGTGGAGTTGTTGGCGAAGAAGATCACCGAGCTCGGGTACAGCTGCTACTACATCCATGCTAAAATGTTGCAGAGCCACCGCAACCGGGTGTTCCACGACTTCCGCAACGGCCACTGCCGTAACCTGGTGTCGTCGGGTGGGTTGGATTGCAGAAGGGTTTACAGTATCGGTGGTTGTTGCGGATGGAGCCCCGATATCAATATACTTTCGTCCTTTCCCGGCTGCAGATCTTTTCACTCGCGGCATCGATATTCAGTCAGTGAACGTAGTAATCAACTTCGACTTCCCGAAGAACGCGGAAACGTATCTGCATCGCGTGGGGCGGTCCGGTCGGTTTGGTCATCTCGGCTTGGCGGTCAACCTCATCACGTACGATGACCGCATTAACCTGTAAGTTTGGAGCGGTTGAACGTTTTTCATTTAACGCTTCATAGAAGGTCTTTGAACACTAGTTGCGCACACCAATATATTCCGGTAGGATATTAAACCGATGTTTCCACTTTATTGGGTCTTAATGTTATCGCGTATGCGTCCCACCAGGTTCAAGATTGAGCAGGAGCTGGGAACAGAGATCAAGCCCATTCCAGCACAAATTGAGGAGAAACTCTATTGCATTTGAGATGTGCAGCTGTGCCTGCGGCGTGCAGCCGTTCGGCAGCGTATGCTAGCTTTGTTCTGGCGTTCATGAATGCGTGGTAATGCACAGTTGCTGCTCCGTAGCTCCTTACGTGAACGGACACGTTCGGGAACATCTACTGGAGAGAGCATCATAAGCCCAATTAAAAGCATGGGCGGATTATTGCAAAAGCTGCCACATACCCGACGCCTTAGGTTCACTTAGAGCGGCACTTCTTGCAACATCGCCGGTGATTTTCCGAACCACCAGGAGGGTGGGCCGCACAGGGAAGGGTTTGTTGGATCGGTGGCGTTGGTGCGGATCAGGCCATTACAGATGATTAGGGCGGGATATCCCGCTTATCCTGTCGGCGGCCACCACCATTTAAGTGTTTCCATGATGGTGCCCACGCGTTTGGCCAGCACGCCACTTATTGCATAGCCCCTGCCCGTCTACTTACGCGTGCTCCAATGTCCGATGGAAATTGTGCGCGTGAGCCGGGGTGTACAGGGTACGCTGTTTGGTGGGAGCTAGTTGATGGTATGGTAGAGAGGCAAGCAGCTGCTATCTTAACTGCTCGGTGCTGACGCGGTTTGTGTTGACGGCGCAACTTCAAACGTTTGCATTTGTTGGATCGCGTGTCTCGTGTTAAATAGTATCGGTTTAGTTTTGCGCCAGTGGCGGTGAGTTTGTATGGCGGCTTTTGTGCTGCCCAGTGAAACGGTTTGTAGCGGTTGCCAATGGGGAACACCAAGATTAAGGCTTCCTAGTTGACAATCCAATGGGGTCGTTGTGGCTTTGCCCGCCCACGACCCTTGCCCATAGGAGCCTGTCCCCTGGAGTACCGCATTCGCAGCGCTTGCTTTGTATCGCTACCTCAACCAGCTTTGCCTTCTGGTGCTTGGCACGAGTAGTAGGCGCTGCATGGATGCAAACGAATGATATTATGCAAGCATCGCAATGATGTACGTGAGTGATTTATGCACTATACTGTGTTTCGCTTACTATGACATGTGCCCGACGACGTTCTGTGCCCTTCTAAGTAGTGAAACAGCATTGTTTGCTGCTGTTTAGCTGTGTTCTAGCGTTAGACGTGACGGAACGGTCGCCGCCACAATCTCACGGCATGAATGACCCGACCAAACCTCGCTCTCGCTGGCAACGTAAGTAAGCAGGGCGGGCCAGCCGGCTGACTTGACTGCCTCATGACACAGAAGTAGGGTTCTAGTCAGAGGAACCGGGTCAGGCAGGCTGAGGGCGCTGTTGTTTGAGTTTTTCCGTTTCCTCATTGGTTGGCATACGTAGGGCTATTGCAGATGCCGCGTTCGGTCTTAATGCCCGGGGTTTTCTGCAATAGCCTATGGGCAGCGGTTTGCTTTAGGAGTTTTGCAGCACAGCACCGCACACATGGGGTGCTCGAGCCCGTGCCGTGCAGCTCAAATGTGGAGTGTGTTGTGTCGTCGGTGGAGTATGAAGAAGCACCTGGATTGCGCACATACGCGGTCAATGGACTTACCGGTGTGCGTCGAAGTCCTCCGTGTTGGTGTCCCGCACGGACGGGCAGCGAACATTGCAGGACGCAGTGCGCTCATGCGTGTGTGTCTATGGGAGGCGTCGTGTGGAGCGAATTTTGTGGGGTGACTACAGGCCAGTTGCGGGCGGCTGATTACCCCAGTGCATGTGTCGATAGTGGACAGCATCTTGGTTCCGCGGGGCCCGGACTTAAGGTCTTCTTGAGCTTAAACTAAATACTCATAGGAGGTGCTTGATATGGGATGCCGGGAATATTGATGCGGTTCCTGGTGGTCTCGAGATGCTGACCCTTTTTTTGGCAGTGACTGGGAACTCTGGGAATGCTGCCGCGCGCAGCCTTTGGCCATTCCGGTTGTTGAGTCGCACGGGTTGGGGTTTCGGATGATCGATGTGCATTCTGCTGCTTCTTGTACGGTCGTCTATTGCGCTTCATTACCTGGTGTGTGTACGGATGCTTGATGCTTCCACACGGGAGTGCGGACACCCTAATGGCGGACTTCGTATTACGGATACAAAGGCGGATCGTGGTCCCCGTTAGCGACTTCGCTGATAGGAGCTTTGCGCAACGGGAATCCTGGAAAGCATTTCTCCTGATACAGACGGTGCGGGACTCCGGCGACGGCCGTGTGCGCTGCATGCCTGCTGCCGTTCTGCGAAGATTGTGCGGGGTCAGCCATGGCGGGAAGGATGGTCACGCCATGGGGGATACAGGGGCCGACTTGGCGAATGGATAGCCTTTGCCCGGCGTCACATTTGCCATGCGCCCTGCAGACTGCACTTAGACAAATCATCTTTTTGTTCCATGTATACCTGGGATATGGGGGCGCTTTTGGTGCGCAAAATGTGTTGATAATGGTGCGCATTGTGTGGTGGACGTCTTCTATTCTTTTGCCCCGAGACAACAAGGGACTGAGTGTCTGGTGGAGCGGAGATGCGGCACCAATGCCAGTGGTGGCGCGCATATGTGGTTGCTGATGTCTGGTTGGTCGTCGGCTTGGAGGGAGTGGACCCTATACGTCGGTTTAGGGACGCCGAGAAGAAACCGAGACGAATTTGCACAAGGTCACGCAACAGTGGCCAGAGGCTGGCGGATATGGGTCGATCGTCGCAGCGCGGTCGTTAACAGTGCTCACAGCGGCAATTTGCATATCCCAACAGGCTGCAGCCAAGACTAGGTTGCGCTTGTACGCACTACCAAGTTGGCGGCTTCCGTGTGCGGCTGAGGTACAGGCGGCTGATGCCTGGTGCCTTTTTGTTTTCCTGGAGCAAGTGGAGGCCCTTTCGTTCCTGCGGACGCCAAGGTAGGAACAAAATCTTTTTTCGTATGTCGAGAGCTGAGGTTCGTGGCAAATCTCCTGGCATAAATTTGGAGCACTTGCGGTTCCCCGCGGCAAGCTTCACTATTTTGTCGGGCGATGCCATTGGTCTGGCAACTTTCGTTCGGTGTCAGCGTTATGCGCTCGATATCTGGTGGCGGATCAAAGTTTACTGTTGCTTGGCTTGGAGTGTGTACGTATGTTTTATTAATCATTGGCGAGGCGAGCATCAGTGTTCGTTGTATATGTTGACCTCCTTGTATCTCACCGAACGCTGTGCAGTGGTGGCTCCTTACGGAAGCTGTCGCAGCATCCTGATCTGGTGTGAGATGGAGTGCAAAGAAGGTTTGCGCTGTCCGCTCGCTGCTTGTCTTGTCCAGAAGAAATTAGGCAGTGGTCCCAGTTTTCTTGGTGCCGAACCATAGTTTCTCGAGCAGGAAAGTGTGTGGGATTGGTCCGCAAGCTCTTCTGAGTTTTCAGTGCTGTGGCTGTAGAGCTCCCTCGACCTCAGTTGTAAGACTATATTCGCCGCAATCTCACTGCGTGGGGCACACGTTTGCAAGAGAGGTAACATCATAAATTGCTTAACATTACATCTGAACTACACTACACACGCAACAACTGGCTAAAGGGTTACCCCAAGCTTGCAGGCTTCTATGTTTGCTTTAGCTTCGTGCCTGGGGATTGCATTGGATATACAGGCAACAGCACCCAGAAATGTTGCACCAAGCTTGCGCGCACGGCACAGTGATTAGACACCGGGGTAACGAGTACGGCGAGCATGCATAGCATACCAACGGGAAGGTAGCGGCTGTAGAGTCTGACTGCTTACGAAAACCTACATCTCTAAACTTGTGATTCAAGCAAAACATATAATACGATTTCTGACCATCAAGCGGTGGTATCTTTGAATCATATCCTTCATAGCAGGTCACAAGGCAGGCTGGTGCTTATAGGCGATCTGGCAGCCCTTGAGCCGTTTGGGCGGTTTGCAGGTACGGGGTACGCAACCCCACAGTCATGTAACACACACACACACACACAACAACAAAAAAAAAACACCACAAGGCAGGCAACTGCGTTGGCGGAGCACACCTGAGGCACCAAGCGTTTGTGAGGAGCGCCTGCCTTGTGTAGATTATTATCCCCTCTTCATCTGCTTTAAATGGATTGACTTATCGTCGAAATTTCACCCATCGTCGAAGTTTCACTCGCCAATCCCAAGGGTCGGCTTAAATCCTTCGTCTAGTGTGGCCTTTACCCAGGTACATCCAACCCCACCCTTGCTCATAGGAAAATGCAAATAACAGCCAACAGGTCCTGATCAGAACGAGCGGTGGCGGAGCGATTGCGCCGACAGCAGGCAGCCATGCCTCAAGATTCGCCGAGATCGTTCATCGATGTCGGCTTCATGTGCTGTACTGCGCTGCCGCCATCACGTGCTGTGCAACGTTCATAACGTTTTTCACTCGAATAGTGAATCTGGCACGCGGTACTTGTTTGACTCCCTGCCAAACTTTTCCGCCTGGTCGGACGGTGGCACGGAGACCCACGTCTTTCCTTTGGAGCCCGGAATCGCAAACCCTCGCTTGGTACGTCGTGAGCGAGCTGTTTGCGCTTCACCGCTTCGGAAGCTTCTATTAGGATGTGCCAAAAAAATTATCACTCTGCGCTGCAGACAGCACAGCGAGGAGCGTGCAGCTCACCATTTACAAACTGTATCCGGCGAGGTGGGCGAAGATTCATGGATAGTGCAGTGCGGGACGCAGCGCCCTGTTGCCATTGACAATGCCAATTCGCGGTCGACCGAGCACGTGCACATACATACATTCCAGCGGTTTGCAAAACCTCCGTCTCGCGCCGTCGTCGCGCGTCTCCGCCACGTCGCGGCTGTGATCTCGACTGTGCGTTGTTGGTGCCGGGAGTCGCGTCACGTTGAGCAGTGTTGAGCAGTGTTGCGCGGGGCGAGGTGCTGTTGCGACGTACATACATATGCGAGGTGCCTACCTCCAAAAACAATACCGAAGTTGCGCCCTCACTTCCATGGGCCCCAAACCTTCCATTGAGTACAAGCCATTGAAGCGGTTCCTCTCCCTGAGAGGCCTCACTGCAGAAAGTCCTTTTGCGTCACATGCGCGGAGGTCCGTAGGTGCTGGACTACTGCGGGTCAGTCAGGCACCATCCCCACCGGGCGTGCCTGAGCCCTCCATACACACACGCCATTACCCGCCCCGGCCCGCGGAAACCTCTTTCTTACTCTCTCCCTCCCCACTTGGCCCCGCAAAAAAATATTGCACCTCATCTACTGGCTTAGGAATGCCCATTTCTTTGGATTTAAGCTCGCGTCCGGAATTCTGTTTTTCGTAACGTTCATCCCGTACGGCTGTCCGTACACTCGCCTTTCAAAATTCCTTGCAGTCAGCGCTGCATCCGGCCATGGCATCGGATTGCGTCACCGCCATTGCGGCCGCGTTGGGGGACTCGGGAACTACCCGGGCAGAGGTGCGTGCGTATGTATGTTTATGCATGTACATGCATGTATGTATGTGTCATCGTAGAGCCATGAGGCACGACAGGCTGAAACGGTCACACCTAAACACGTGTGTGGGTATATGTATGTATGTATGTGCGTAAGTACGTAATGTAGATGTGTGGATTGGCAAAGGCCACCAGGATCGATGCGATGTGAAGCCCGGATCGGTGTAGATACAGATCTTGACTAGGAGTACGGAGATGTTTGACCAGGTATGTGAAGAGGAGCGAGGTTTCACAAGGTCCTGTACGGACGAAACGCCACCACTTTTGCCTGATGGACAGCGGCGAATCCGACACGTATGCTATCTGGCTGCCCCCCTACCCCCCTACCCCCCTACCCCCCTGCCCCCTGCCCCCTGGCCCCGGTCCGCGGTTCGTCTCCTCAACCCCCTGGACCCCCCTCTCCTGCTCAACCCCTTCCCATGCCCCTCTTCCCTCCTGAGCTCCAACAACTACCCCTTTACATACACACGCACGCACACGCACACACATACACACGCATGCACACTCTCTCACTCACACAGGCCCTATGCAGCCAGTTCGCGAGTAGCTCCAAGCTTCAAGACGCCATCATCGGCCTCAACACGCTGTACTTGTTGCTGTGCGGGGCGCTGGTGTTCGTGATGCATGCGGGCTTCGCGATGGTGAGAGAGAGAGAGAGTGTGTGTGTGTGTGCTGGGTGTGTGTGTGTGTGTTGCTGCTGGGTGGGTGTGTTGTTGCTGGGGGTGTGGAGAGTGCGGCGGGGGACGGCCTGGTGGGTGGAAGGGGGGGAGGGCGCGACGATATGTTTTCAGGGCCCTGTTTGTGTTACAAGTTACAAGTTACAAGTGCCGCACGAGTGCGGGGGGGTCTGTCAAAGCCGGGAGGCCATAAACTATATATATTGAAAGTTGATTACACCGTACGAACGACGGCGGTTTGGGTCCTGCCAACTAGACCCCTCCTCGTCCAGTCACCCAACATCCGTAGAGACAGATTAGCCACCTCCACCATCTCAGCATGCGAAATTTAGTCCATCAACTGGACCTCATCTCCACACCTCAGCAGCGTTAGTAAACTAAGACTTCACGAATATTGTCGAGGGTCTGACCAGGAATCGAACCCGGAACCTTCATATACACAAAGGCGCCACCATACCAGACGTGGATCCAGTGTCTCTACCGCCTCCTCCTCCTCCACTACCTTCTACTGCTGCTGGTGTTGCCCCACCTTGGCCCTCCTGAGTGGCATACTCCCCACATCTCCCCCACTTCTCCCCCGCTCTCCCGACCTCCCCAAGGGGACAAGATCAACCCCTTACCTGCCCTGCGCCCCTCCCCTGATTCCTTTTGCAAACTGGCAGTTGTGTGCGGGGGCCATAAGATCCAAAAACACAAGTGCGTGGGGAGGGGAGGGGAGGGGAGGAGGGGGGGAGGGGGGAAGGGGAGGGGAGGGGAGGAGGGGGGAGGGCACAGAGTGGGACCAGGGATGGCCGTTTGTGTGCCTGTATGTGTCTGTGTTTGTCTGTGTGCGTGTGTGGAGGTTCAGGTCTTTTTTTTGCTCTTCGCAACGAAGAGCTCTTCCTTCCCCTTTCCTGGGAGGGGGGGTCGAAACGGTTGACTTGACAGCGAGCTGAACAGAACAACAGCTTTAAAACCCTAAACCCCCCAAATCCCCTCGGTGGTTCAACCCCACTGTCCAACCCCCTTTCTCCCCCCCCTTCCCAACTCTCCCACCTCTCTGCCTCGCATGTGCCTTTGCCCGCTGCTTCTGCTGCCTGGCCAGGTGAGTCCAAAGGGTGGTTCCAGCTTCTTCAGTATTTCGCGTTGGCGTCGGTCGGCTAGCCGGACTAGGATAGTCGGGTCGGTCGGGTCGGTCGCGCGTTTTAGTTTGGGGGCTGGGAGGAGCACTTGCATACCGACAGCCTTTCAGTACCAGCAAATCAGCTAATTCTCCAGGCCAGCAACTTTATGCCAGCTTTACGACAGCACTGCTTTACTACTTTTCCGCCGCCTTCACACCTACTTTTCTACACCTACTTCTCTACGGCTTGGCAATATTTTCTTCTGCTTTTTTAGTCCTGGCGGCTTAGGTAGGTAATCTTTCCGACATCTTCTTCACTTCGTCATCCCGAGGTCGCGGTCTTCACGGACGCCTTTCGGTCAGTTCTACGTTTGATACACTCTTGCCCTGGCAGCAGCTTCAATCGTGTGTGGTTCGTCTTTCCCCCGCCCTTCCCCCCCTTTCCCCCTTTTACCCCCGCCCCCACACGACCTCCACACGACCACCACGCGACAAACAACAGTGAATATTCTGTTGCAGACCGTTATGGACGCCGCCGTGTCAGCCATCGCCTTCTACGTACTGGGGTACGACTGTGCCGGTTGTTAAAAGTTGTTTTGGTTACAAGTTGTCGGTTTTAAGACATAGGCTGTGGATTCTTATCGGTTGGGTTCGGTTCTTCGATAGTAAATAACACAGCGGGGCGCCCTCCCCCGGGGGCGGGGCGGGGGGTTGCTATACACCTTTCGCGGTTCTGCGGCCAGATGGTGACGGGGGGTGGGGGTGGTGGCGGCGGTGGTGGCGGCGGCGGTGATGTTGAGCCTTGCGGAGGAGGTGGAGGAGGAGGAGGAGGAGGAGGAGGAGAAATGGGTGGTGGCAAACCTGCAAAAAGGGCAGCAGAGTACTACTGTGGAAAATATGTTGCTCCTTCCCCTGCCTGCCGTACACCGCGAACAGGTACGGCTTCGCGTACGGCGTGGGAGATAAACCGAACGGCTTCGTGAGTGAAGTTCAAAAGAACAATGTGGGGGGATTGGGAGGAGGGATGTAAAGAGGGAGTGTGTACGGTAGTATATGTGTACGGCACGTGTGTATGTGTGCGCCGCTGCTAAGTTCAACGAAATCCCCTAGCTCAAATCAGTTGGTCTGTCGTACGCTAGAGCCGGATTCAGACAGACCAATCTAATAATTGCAGTAATAACGCACAGACATACACACAGACACGGGAGAGAGAGACAGAGGGGGGGAAAGGTGCACACCTATCATAGACGGTTTATCCTCTCCAGTCGCATCACCAGAACCGTCGTACATTTGTACTGCACTGCAGATCGGTGATGCGTTGTACGGCCTGTCGCGTTGGAGGTCCCACAACTATGATCTGGCGACTGGCATGGGCGGCGATACGGGACTGGTGGGTAGTGGTGGTGGTGGTGGCGGTGGTGGTGGTGATGGTGGTGGTGGTGGTGGTGGTGATTGACTATAGGATGGAAACCTCGTTGTATTAGAATGTGTGTGTGTTTTACTATGAATGGTGTATTATTACCGTCCTTGCGTGTATTTCCAACCGGGAGCATTTCGCACTTCCCATCTCTTCCACGTACGTACATACGTACGTGTTTGCCGTACGTGGAAGCCGTTCTCCCCTTTCCACTTCGCCCGGTGCAGCTGCAGCAGGAGGTGCTTCCGACACCCGTTCAGTGAAGTTCTATATTGTTATTTGCGCCCCCCTCTTCGTGGTTCGTCTTTCCCCCCTCTTCCCCGTCGTCGGGATTAATCCCCTCCCACCCCCCGCCCCCCACCCCGGATTGTGTCACCCGGCGCAGGGCTGGCAGAGCTGGTTCTTCCAATGGGCATTTGCCGCCACCGCCACCACCATCCCCGCCGGGGCGGTGGCGGAAAGACTCAACTTCAATGCTTACTTGGGTATGTACGATCCGTACGCGAAAATGCGCGTGTAAAGTATTTAGATCGAAATGTAGATCCAAGTCCATTGTGATAAATTTTTTTATACTTTTTTAAATTGGAAAATTTAGTTTCTTTTTTTGTCTTTGTGCATTTATTCAAATTGCTTTCAGGGCCATTACCGGGTCTCAGACCATCGGAGCGAGCCTTCCTATCTCATCCTTATGCTCTGACCTCCCCGTCTGCCCTCGTACTGTACGGTCGTTCCGTACATACCTGCCGTACACAACTCCCGGCCACCTATCTGCCAGAACCTCTGTCGTCCTCCTAAAACTAAACCCCTGCCCCCTCCGCGGGCCCCCGCGGCCCCAACGTATCTTCCAGTTTACTCAGCCTTCATCTCCGCCTTCGTATATCCTGTGGTCGTACACTGGGTTTGGAGCACGGAGGGCTGGCTGGGTTATGTACGACGGGCACCGTACGGCCGCCTTTTCGGTTCGGGCATGATCGATTTTGCTGGCAGTGGTGTCGTACACATGACGGGGGGGCTGGCGGGTGAGCCGTGAGTTGGGTGCGTGGGCGGGTAACTGTATTGGCGGTAGTTGGCGTCGGTTGGCGGTTGTGACGGGATATCTGGGTCCTGTTTGAGCCACGTGTGTTTCGTTTGCCTCTGTTCCATGCGGCGACAGCGTGCGACGTGGTGCGAGATTTCCCTCTGCGGGCCATAACAACGGCAACCAGTTTATCAACTTCCTCTACTTGCTCTCACACTCACACTCACACGCCCTGGGTAACGGGGCCCCTGTGCAAGCCCTCTCCCCACCTACCTAAGACACGTACATACATACGTACATACATACGGCACACATGTACACACGTCAGCACATTAACAAACCCAGAATTCCCAAAACACGCACCCTCCCCACCCCCCTAACCCCCCACCCCCCCATCACCCCTCCCTCCTCGAAAACGCAGGTCTCGCCGGCTGTGTACTGTTGGGACCCCGCATGGGCCGATTCGACAGCAGCGGTCGACCCGTGGAGATGCCAGGTCACTCAGCCTCTTTGGTGGTGCTGGGGACGGTGCTGCTGTGGTTCGGTTGGTGAGGGGGGAGGGGGGTGTTAAGAGGGGGGGAGTTGGGGGCCGTGTCTGGGTTAGTGCCCGGGTTGGTCTGTCGTACATTTTCGAATGTACGAACTTAGGGTTTAAAGGATTAAAACACCTGCATGTGTGATGTGTGGGACAGGGGGGCATATCTTCACCCCTGGCCGCTACCCGGTGAAATCCTGCCTTCCCCAGTATTTCGGGGCACCCTCATCTAGTCAACTTCTCAGTGGATCGCTCAGGTTCCGCACCCACCTCCGGCATCCATCGAAATCTACCGGATTGACGGCGGCTCTACTCCATTTCCTGGTCAGCTCGCATGCCAACTTTATCCCAGGTCACCCCCGTCCATCGACTAGGCGCATTTTTCCTCACCATCGGAAGGATTTCGACTCAACAGGTCTCGATCCTGCGATCTCTCGGGGGCATTGGTGCATGCTTTTCCAGTAGTGCCTAACCTATATGTATGTATGTGTGTATGTGTGTGTGCTTCCGGAATGCACGCAGTCGTGATGCAAAGTGATGATTTACTGGCATGTCAGCTCGTTTGTATGTATGTTGTTACAGGGTGGTTAACTTCGCCAGCGGCCCCCTTTCCCGGGGCAGTCCCTGCTCTCCCCTGCTAGAGGGGCACCCTAATCCGTCACCCCATCCGACTTCAGAATGTATTCGTTGGGTTCGGCAACTCACCACCAGCATCCAACCAAATCTAGCGGATCAACGGCGCATCAACTTAGTTCCTGGTCAGCTCGCAAGTTGGTAGTATTACGTCCTACATCGTCCATATGATGGGGGGCCACCTCCCATTACAACACTCCTCAAACACCCGAGGAGCCGGCAGGCGGATTTGGGTCGGCCGGGAGCAGAAGTCAGGCCTTAACCTCTGCCAGCCGCCTGCCTTTGTATGTACGGATGTATTCCATGTACGACGCAGGTACGGCTTCAACCCGGGGTCCCAGCTACTCATCAACAGTCTCGCCAACGCGGCGGTGGTTGGGCGGGCGGCCGTCACCACCACCTTGTCAGGGGCGGCTGGCTGCCTGACCTGTCTGGGAGTGGCCTTCACACGCCATAAAGTACGTAATGACCAACAACCAAAACCAACAACCATTAACCAACAACCACGGTTAAATAAATCACTAGGACCACCGCGTAGGCGCCCCTTTCCCCCAGTCACCCGCTACTGCTACAGGAAACCACCACCACCACCACCACCCGGGCCCCGGGCCCTCCACCCCCCAGCTTTCATGAACCACGTAAGGCCCCCCGGCCCCCGTCCTCCTCTCCGGGACGTGATAACAGGGCAGTTGACAGTTGACAGTTGACAGTTGTTTCCCACGTAAAAAATAGTTTTCTACCGGAAACAGATTTTCTCTTTCAGAAAATACCTTTCCCCACCTCCTTTTCCCTCTAGTATAGCATAGCATATCATTCATGTCATCCCCGCCCCCCCTTTCCCACCTTTTCCGCCCCCCAGGCCTGGGACCTGGTCGCCGGCTGTAACGGCGCGCTGGTGGGTTTCGTAACGGTCACCGCGGGGGCCCACGTCCTGGAGCCCTGGGCCGCCCTCATCGCCGGGTCGACCGGGGCGCTGGTGTTTGAGATGGGGTGAGAGATTGGGGGGGGGGGAGGGGGAAAGCAGGAAGGAGAGGGAATTGAGAAGGGGGGTATGATCGGTATGAGAAAGGAGTTGCCTAGCTGAGAGCGGTTGGGTGGGTGGGTGGGGAGGAGTGGGTAGGGGGTCTGCCCTTGGAGATATCACGTAGGTTATCCTGCCTCGCCCTCGCCCTCGCCCTCGCCCTCACCCTCGCCCTCGCCCTCGCCCTAACCCACCGTCCTCTCCCCGCGGCTCCGAGGGGTAGCGCTGATCTCGCAGCTTTGCTTTATCGTATTTACCCATCACCCGCTTTTCCATTTGCTATCTGTACGACAGCTGTGCGCTGTTGCTGAAGCTGAAGGTGGACGACCCGCTGGCAGCCGCGCCCATGCACGCCGCGGGGGGCGCCTGGGGGGTGGTCTTCGTGGGCCTCCTGGCCAAGAAGCAGTACATCTGCGAGTCGTACGGCAAGGACTGCACCGAACCGGGATCTGGTGTCGTACCGCACGGACTGTTTTATGGTGGCGGCGGCCGGCTGTTGGCATCACAGGTACAACCGGAACAACGGTATTGGTTAAGGAATATTGGGGGAGCTCGGGCTGGGTTTCTGTGTGTGTGTGTGTGTTTTGAAAGGGGGGGAGACCGGCATGAGGGGTCGAGGAGAGGCAAGGGGGGAAAGAGAGACCGTTCTCTTAATTACGAAATTACGACCCACAAATTGCGGTTAGGTGACAGTTAGGTAACGGTTAGGTGCATATCTGGTTATTTTGTCCAAGGTTCTTCGTTGTTCACCTCGCTGTACCCCCCACGAAACACACACACACACACAAATATACAAGCAGCAGCAGTACCAGCAGCTGTAGCAGCACGTATCCACATATCGACACTCACCCAGCCATAAGGGCGCACGTGCTGGTGTGCAGCCCCTACGTTACAACAGCCCCACCATTGTTTCCAGAATGTCCTCTGAGATAACATAATCGACCTCCGCCGTACCGCACGCTGTCGTACCGCTGTACATTGTCGTACTGCTCAGGTCATCGGCGTCATCAGCATCTTCGCTTGGGTGTATGGCCTGCTGACGCTGCTATTTGCCGTGCTCAATGCCATTAACTTGCTTCGCATCAGTGCTCAGGAGGAGCAGGCAGGGCTGGTGGGTTCCGTTTGTCGTACCTTTATCGTATTCCCGTACGTTCCGTAATAATTCCACTTGGCGTTGCCCTTGGCGTTGAGTTTACACATATGCGATCCTGGAGTAATTATACATTCATTATTACCATTAGAAGCGACACCGAAAAGAACTGGCGTGGTCAGCCCTGCGTTTTGTCTTACAAGTCTCGCGCTAATGATGCTTTCCGCGAGAACCTTCACCGCCACGCCCCGCAAATTTTCCCTTCCTGCGAGGGATGCTTTTAGATCCGCCTACCTCGCATCACATCTGGTTTTGCATCCGCACCTGATATCTACCGGTATCTACTTGCACATTTCTAAATCCATCGCCTTCATGAAATAAAAATATGTTTATGTTAGTTATATTTATTATATGTTTTGTTGCAGTCCAAAAGGTTTATATATTTAAATGCGGGCTTGGCCGGCCTGTTTGTCCGCCATATCCTAATCAGGACCTGTCCAAGCACGGTGGCTCCGCCTACTATTACGACCACGGCCTAGGAAAGCCGGAGAAGGCGCCCACCGCCGCAGAATCGGTCCTCACACCCTCACCGCCCAGCACCTCCATCTAGCCATCTAGGCAGACAGCTAGACACACAAGCTTGATCGAGCTAGCAAATTAATTACAAGTACCGCACAGTTGCGGGGAGCGTTCGTAAAAGCCAGAGCCGGGCCCCCTAACGGACGGTCAATTGCCGAGTGGGAATGTTGACGTCCCTCCTGCTCTTCTGGACCCGGCTAGCCTCCAAGAGAGTGATGTGCCGCCTTCTGGTCTCCCAAACCTCGCTCGGAGACCAAATAAGAGAAAACTAGCCATCACTTAAGAAAGGGGCTTCCGCCATAGTAGTTAGTAGTTAGTTATACTATTGACTTGCGCGCGCTTTGGAAAGCCAATGTCCGCCTAGTATTGATCTCGAGCCAAGTTCCCCACATGTGCTGGTGCGCATGCACCAAAGGCAAGCAGCAGGTCGTCCTTGACCACTCCGCAGCCACGACGCCTCCAGGTACTACTACTACTACTGCTGCTGCTGTAGGCCCAGCAAACATACAGAAAATGTCCCTCCTCCTGCGTTCCAAAAGATGGAGCTTTGTTATTAAACACCTTTCCTTGCTTTCTACTGTGGCCTAATGGTTGGTACATCTGTAGTACTTAAAATTGTTGCGTGAACGTGAAGGGGGTTACGGGCAGCTCCGGGCTCACACCTACCTACGTTGTGTTTGGCCGACTAAGGCGATAGTTGCAGGGGGGACAGGAGGGGGCTAAAGAGGAGGGGTCTCTGCGGCTGTGCTTGTTGGATATATGGTCGGGTATATAGTCGGGTGTATAGAGCTGCGGTTGTGTGCACAAGGTATACAGCTGTGGCTAGCTGATGAGCTAGCGGCGGGCAGCAGGCGACGATGTGCAACGGTCTACCTGCTTTTGCCGTCTGTGGGGGGTGCAACGGCCTCTGCGTATTGAGTGATAGGGGACAGGAAAGGGTTTTTTTCTTGCTTGTGTAGTTTTGTGTTCGTGGTCTGTGTAGCTCTTTGTGTGCATATGTATGTCTGCGAGATATGGCTGGCCTGCACGTGTTGTTGTGCGCGTGTTGTTGTCGGAAAGGACCTGTAAATTTAGTTTGCTGTTATCCGCAAATCGTCTTCCGACATATGCCGTACCCTTGAGTACGAGAATGGTCGTACTCTTGAGAGAAAACGAAAACCCAATCGCGGGAAGAAGGACCTGATACATTTTTTCTGTAATGTACGGCATATTACATGTGCATTGCAACTTAAAGCTGAAATTTCTGCGTGTTCTTCATTGTCATCCTTGCATTTCAAGTGTCAATTCCCATCAGCACATGTCCCTACGAATTTCTGATACTGGTCACGACGGACGATGTGTCTCCCCTGTTATACGGCGTACCGAGGGGGTGAGAATGACCGTCGAGCCGGGATTCGTACCAATACTGTCTGATGGTGCACCTGCCGCTGGGTTCCCCTTGGGGCGCTGTAGGAGTTTCCTTTCTGTTATGTGTGTGTTCAGACGGAGGAACGACATTACATATTATGGTAAGCAATGTATGAGGCGTAAGGGTAATTGATGCACGCGACGATCGTTTCCCTTACATTCGCCTACGTATAGTACGCCCCAGCCAAGGCAAGGGGTTTTGTGTAGTGTGCGAAGACCGGCGTGCAGTTTCCTGTTAAGGAAGTTCTTGCCTTATAGCTGGAGTGGATTTACATTCTTGTTATAGCGTTCTAGTGGCCATTATGTGGAATTTTGTACTTTTTTGGGGTTACAGCCTTCCATAATGGTCTTGACGAGTAGCACGCTACCCCAATCTATGGTGAGGATGTGCTGCAGCTCCCACACAAAGGTAGTCAGATTCATTTCATGACGAAGGTCGTGATTTTGGAGTTGAAGTAGTGCATGGGCCTTGGGGCGAGCTTTGCCAACTGATGCAAAAACAGTCAGTTGTACGGCCAACCGCTTTCAGCAATGTCCCAAACTCGACTGCTGGTGTGCCCACAATCACACGTTGCTTCAGGTGCTTGCATTCTCATACCTGTGATACGATATGGTGAGCATGGACAGCAGCGCTTCTAGCGGATGTTGCATATAACAGTCGTCCGTGCGAAAATCATATGCGAAATTATAAGTAAGAACAAATCAATTGTAAGCAAGTTGCTGGGAATACACGCCTAGATTGCCCTTAAGAAATGAACTTCCTCAAGACGTTAGACCAGGCGCTCGATTTCGAGCGTCTGGAGAAAACTGTGACGGAGAAGGTGCAACAAGCAGCTCTCAGTGTCGTTGAGGAGTTTCCGGACCGCAATAGAGCTGCACCGACCGGGGCCTTGCTGTCGATCACCCCAGCTGGTAAGCCTGCCATCCATACCACCCGATTAGGATGGTTGTCGCCAACAGCTGGTCACTATGCATTTGCAGTTTTGGTTGAGGCGCGTGAGGTATCAGAGATATGGCAAGCATACGAAATGGAGGTGAGGGCTGTCGCTTGAGTACGCACATGCTTCACTTAACACACACTCCTTTTACATACATGTTCAACTACTTATCTGCTTGTTGAAATCAAAGGAAACTGTATTAGGCTTGTCGCACTTTTGCTCGTCCTGTGCCGTCTGTTACACCGCATAGCGCCGCAAGGATGACTGGGAGGCAGCATGTGCGGAGCTCAAGGTGCTACTCAGCAAGGATGAAACCGCGCACGTGGCCTGGCAGCGCCGCGCGCAGGACGCAGAGCACAAGCTCTACCAGCTTTACAACTCTCTGCTGGCGCTCCCAGACCCGGCTCCTTTCCTCTACCTTCTCACCACTCTGGCAGCTCGGGTACAGGGTGAGCTGGAATTTGAGACTCGGGTTTCCTAATGTGTGCGTGTGTGAGTCCTAGGGTACCGCGCAGCCCCGCACCCGTGTCCTCTGCCAAATCACCCGCCGGTGGAAATGGCACTTTACGGAGGACACCTTTTCCTGCACCCCACGGCGTATCCCAATGCTCCGAAACCACATTCCAGAGTATTCCGTCCATATACAAGTCGAATGTCACATCTTATCCACCTTGGACTTGCAGTTCGTATGGCGTTGTACAGTGTGGCAATGGTAGATGGTGCTGTATGGTATGATAAATCGTAGAAATGATAGTGTGTTCAAGTGGCCCAGAAGCCTCCCACTGTGTCACATCTTAGTAACTCCGATTAGCCCAATCCCAAGGCGGGGCCGAGGCGCTTTGTCCCGCCCTCGTGGCCCCTCATGGCCCCTCATCCCAACATGTACCTGTATCCCTGCGTGCTTGGAGGGCCCCCCCGCCTGCCTGCTGCCCCCCCCCCGCCTGCTTTCAAATCCCAACTTCTCCTTCTCCTCCTCCTCTTCCTCTTCCTCATGTCCACGCTTCAGAGCTCGAGGACGCCAACCGCAAGCTCCAGGCCGCGGCCGACCAGGCTGCCAAGGACGATGCGGAGGTTGGCAGCCTCATTGAGAAGCACCAGAAGCTTTTGGAGAGCACCAAGGAGTTGCAGGTGCGGGTGGGGGGATGGGGTTCGGGCTTGGGGAGGAGGGATGGGGTTAGGAGGAGGACAGGGGGAAGGGAGTGAAGTGGATGGAGGAGGTGTTAGGGGGGAAAGAGGCATCCTCGGAGCTCTATGCGAGTGAGGGCCGTGTGTAGAGGGAAAGCTGAAGGGGAGGGTAACACGGGGAGTAGCGCTGTAGTTGGAGACACCGGGGGCGTGACAGTACGTCGACTGACGTACACGTGACGTGACCCAAATGGATGTTATGGAGGCGCCGTGTGCGTGTGCGTGTGTATGTATGCGTGAGGTTACGAGTGAGGGGAAACCCGGGGGAAGTCGAGGAAGGCGCCGGTAGCGCCGTCTAAAGACCCAGATCGAAAGACATTTAGATAGGTGGAATCCCCCTCCCGTGTATTCCGGGTGCGGGTTTGCATGATGATGATCTCCCTCTCCCACCGGCCAACCCCCCTCCCCCGTTCCTAAGTCCCCCCTTCCCTCCTCCCCTCCTTGGCATCAGCTTCACTCGTTCGTGGCTCCTCTTTCCCTCTCCTCTTCCCCCCCAAATCAATACCCCAGGAGGAGCTCGCTCGTCGTGACGCGCGCATCTCTGAGATGTCCGCTGCCGCCTCGGAGGCCGCCGCGGCCCGTCAGGAGATGAGTCTGCAGGCGGCGGAGATGGCCCGGCTGCAGCGCTCTCTGCGGGCGGTGCGGGAGGAGTACGAGGCCACCCAGCAGTCCCTGTTCGAGCTGCAGAGCCGGATGGAGAGTCTGGCGGGGAGCAGGCAGCAGGAGGCGGAACTGGCCAGCGAGGAATTGGACAGGGTGGGCTTGGGGGGCCTGAGGCGGGGGTTGAGGCCCCTGGAGGGGGGCAGGGGGCACCATGTTCAAGAACGAGGAAGCAAAGGGAAAGGGAGAGTCAAATGCAAGGAGGGGAGGGGAGGGGAGGGGAGGGGAGGGGAGGAGAGGAGAGGAGAGGAGAGGAGAGGAGAACCGACCAAGCCAGCTCAAGGTGGGGGGGAAGGGTGAAGGGGGCCTAGGGATTTCGGTGTTGACTTCCTTCCTCTTTTCCTTTCCGGGCTAGCTTCTGCCGTCGCGTCCCGGCTTCCTCTAGCTCCGGAACCACTCTCTGTACCAGCAGCCCCACCCCACCTTCTTGCAAGTATGATTTCCCCACTCCCCGCCGCCGCTAGGTGACTAAGAGGGCTGCGGAGTTGGAGATGGAGCGACAGCAGCTGATCTGCAGGCTGGAGAACGCGCAGCGGCAGGTGGCAGTAGCAGCTGCAGGTGCAGCTCCAGCAGCAGCAGGCGGGCTGGGGGTAGATGCAGGTGAGTGAGTGAGTGGTGGATGTTGGGTCTGCGGGTGGCTGCGGTAGTGCTGTTTGTGTGTGTGGGGGGGAGGGGAAATAAGGGGGATGGTGGGTTGAGTTATAGGCGTACGGCTGCGGCTGCCGGTGGGGTTGGGGATTGGGGGTTAACATGCGCGGGGGCCGGAGGGAGGGTTGGGGGGAAGGGGAGGGGAAAGGGGAGGGTGTATGGGTAATCAGGTACTGCCGCGACCCGCTTTAGACACGTGCAAGGTCATCCTGGTGCCGTACTCCCCCGCCCACCCGGGGGTGATATGGGCTCTGTAGTCCTCCATGGGCCTCCATGGACTCTCGTGGACACACGGCTGCCAGTTCTGGAGAGGGGCTCCGCTCCACCCTCCGCTGAAGTTGGAAAGGACACGTCCCCACTCAGATCGCCATGGAGTTGGAGTTGGTGGGTTTCAGGGTCGCCCAGGTGGAACACGCCCGTGTGTGGGTGGGTGGGTAGAGGGGGTGGTGAGGGTCTTGGAGGACGAGCAACCAAGCAGCAGCAGTAGCAGGTTCTGCTGCTGCTGCCGTTTCTGCAGCAGCTCACATGTCCGTTCCTTCGTCGCTCATTTGGGATGATAAGCAATGTGAGACCGCTTTGCCTCTGTCTGTCGTCTTTCCGTGTGCCTCCTTCCTCACCCCTTCCCCTCCCCTCCCTCTCCCCCTACGCATGGGTAACACATACACATGTTTAAATACACGTACACACGCATACGTGCTCGTCACCCGTCCTCCCCCGCCACTGTCGGCCACTGGGGAGCAGCCCTCCCTGCTGCTGCGGCGGGCAGCGGTGGCAGTGTCGGGGCGAGTACGACACCTGGCAGCGGCGGTGCAGGTGGTGCTGGTGGCGGTCTGCTTGGTGGTGACTATGTGTTGTTGGAAAGGCAGTTGGCGGTTAGGGAGGAGCAGGTGAGCTTTCGGATTGGGTTGTGTTTGTATGCGTGTGTTTGGGGGGGAGAGGGGGCCCATCGGGTGCGTGCTGTGCTGTGCTGTGCTGTAGGAGGGATATGAGCGGGTTGTGGAAGTGTATATCTCTTTGTGGCTTGGCACCTGAGCCTCCTGTCTTCGCTATTGTCGTTGTTGCTGTTGCTGCTGGCCTTCTTGTCTTGTTTTTCGTTCCCACGGGTCAGAGCGTCCGTTGGGCATGTCCTTCACTCGCTCGTGGTCCGTCCTTCCCCTTCCTTCCCCCCTTTACCCCCTTTACCTCCCAACCCCCCTTTTCCCCGCTACCAGGTTAGCGCGCTGAGCTCCTCCCTGGAGGCCGTACAGCGGGGCGCCGCTGACGCCGCCTCCCGACACGCGCTGGAGCTGGCCACGCTCCGAGACCAGCTGTCCACCACCCGCCTGGCTCTGGATAGGTTGGAGAGGGAGGTGGCCCGGAGACCCGACCCCACGGAGTACCAGGTAGGGCTGATGTCGGGTGGGGTGGGGTGGGGTGGGGGGTGGGGGGTGGGGGAGAGTGTTCTTTGAGGGAGAAAGAGCAGTCGGGCAACCCCTCCCGAACTGGGACTTAGTTCCCCAGCGGCCTCGTCCCCCTCTTCATGTTACATACAGGGGGTTGTCCATACCACCCCCATCCACACCACCACATGTGCACATGCCCTGCTCCGACATACCGGCCCATTTTCCTTTTGCTGCTGACCCCGTGACGTTGACTGCTTGCTCCTGTGATAGTGCCCTGCAAAAACACACACGTACGCACATACATACATACATACGTACGTACACACGTAGGAGCTGCGGCGGCGTGCTGAGGCTCTTCAGTCGCTGGTGGACGTGCAGATGCAGGCGGAGGGTTGGAGTGGGGAGCAGGTGGGGAGCAGGAGGGGTTGGATGGGGAGGGGAGGGGAGGTGTGTGTTGGTGGGGGCCAGGCAGGGGGGAAGAGGGACGCGGGAAGACAATCTGGGCGGATGGGGCCCCGTCTTCCCGCGCGAACCTACCGAACGGCGCTCTCTCCGCTGCCCTGGCTCGGACGTCCCACTTGCATACACACAGACACACAGACAGACTCGCGCGCCTACGCACGCGTGCATGTGTATAATTTCCCCTTCCTACCTCCCCAGTCTTTCAAATTCCCCAGCCCCCTACCCCTAACGCAATCACCTGGGGGGCGGGATTCCTGTTCGCGATTGAGTGACGTCTGGGCTTAGTAGAGTCGTTTTCTTTTCCTTTTAATATTCCCGAGGCCTTGTCCCTTTTCCTCTTGTTCCCCTCGTGTGTCTGCGGCGGACAACCCCGCTCCCCTAGGTGGAGGCAACTCTGCGGGATCTCAACGCACAAACCGTGACTAGCGTACTGCAGGTACGAGTCTACGTACGACGGCGCTGCTTGACTGTTTATGCACAAGCACCTCGCACACACCAGTTTATCAGTTATCGGTTGTCAGTTGTGCCAAACAGGAAAAACCGGGAACCAACCTTCAGCCAGTATCGTAACTATCATAATCATCATAACCATCGTTCCCCTTTGGATGTCGACAGTTTTTTTTGGCAGTGAATTTTAAAGGGCCCGTTGCATGAAACTATTTGGGAGTCCCCTCCTCCGCACTACCGCGGTAGTGCGGTCGGGTGGCGGCTCTGCGCTGTCATGTGGCGCTCATCCACACACCCCTCGTGTGTGTATGTATGTATGTACGTATGTATGTATGTATGTATGTATGTATGTATGTATGTATGTATGTATGTATGCGTGCAGGAGCGCTCCAGGAAGTTGTCCTCCGAAGTCAGCTCGCTGAAGAGACAGATGGCGGAGCGAGACAAGCAGGTCGGTGTACTTGTGTGTGTTTGCGTTTGTATGTATGTCTACGTGCCCGTGTGTGTATGTGTGTCTCAATTACAGGGTGGTTAAACTCCACCAGCGGCCCCCTTTCCCGGGGCAGTCCCTGCTCTCCCCTGCTAGAGGGGCACCCTAATCCGTCACCCCATCCGACTTCAGAATGTATTCGTTGAGTTCGGCAACTCACCACCAGCATCCAACCAAATCTAGCAGATCAACGGCGCCACAACTTAGTTCCTGGTCAGCTCGCAAGTTGATATAATCACGTCCTACACCGTCCGCAAGATGGGGGGCCACCTCCCATTCCAACACCCCTCACACACCCGAGGCGTCGGGAGGCGGATTTGAACCCGGATCCTCCGGGAGCAGAAGTCAGGCCTTAACCTCTGCCAGCCGCCTGCAGAATGTGTGTGTGTGTTATGTATGTATGTATGGCTGACGTGTGTGGCTTTTTTTCCAGTCAGTCCGTCAGAATGCTGCAGGGGGACTGCTTTTGAGCGCTCTCTTAATAGCTGGCCTTGTTGACAGAGGGGGGGTTCGCGAAGGGGGGATTTGCCGTACCTGCTGTCGTGGTGGTGGATGGGGTCCCGCGGGCAGCTGGTGATGATAGTGATGGCGGTATGGGTTTGGGGGCCCTTGCCCGCTTTTTGTAGTGTGAACTGGCTCTGGCTCTCTGGCTTTTTCGTGGCTTGACTGCTGCTATGTTGTTGATTTCATCATATGTTTATGCACATGTGCATCTGTGACGAGGCTTCCCTTCGTCTCACCCCACCTCCCCCACCCCCATCCCACCCTTAACCAAACAACCATCACCATAACCACCACCACCACGACAACAACAACAACAACAACAACATGAATATGCACAAATATAAACAAATTCCAGATTCAGGACCTGGAGGGCCAGATTCGGGATCTGGAATCCGAGCTCCGACAAAGGGCCCGACTGGTGGCGCAACTGGAAGAGCACCTGGCGGCGGCGGCGGCAGCCGCGGCGGCACCTTCGGCGGGGAACGGCAGCGGCGGCGCCGCTGCCGCCGCCGTCCCTACTGCCTCCACCTCCGCGCCTACTGACTCCACCCCCCAGCCGGCCACCAGCAGCCTCTTGTTACCACAGCTGTCCGGGTCGTTGGGGGTCCTGGTGACGAGTCCAAGCGGGGTAGACCTGACCGGGGCTGCAGCTGCTGCAGACGAAGGCGGTGGAGATGGAGATGGCGGTGGTGGCCTAGATGGTGGTGGTGGTGGCGGTGGTGGCGGCTCGTTGTCGGACATCGTGGTCAGTCAGAGGGA